GCGCAGATTGACCGTAGTGCGTATCGAGGGGCTACTACGAGAAAAGTCCAAATGAATTTTTTCCACGATTTCACTCACCACCTCATGAAAAGCTAATTTTTTTCCACAAAATCACACACGAAATATCGCACTCAACATTCCCGTTGTTTGCAATCTGATCGGTATCAAAATGACTTTCTCGCATTGAAGAGACAAAATTAATTTTGTTTGATTGAATACAACCGATTTCGCGGACCCGCCTTATGTGAACTTGTTTTAATGAACTATGATATATCGATGCGTATAGACACAACCAACAACAACGGAAGCACGGAATTTACAATCCGGAGTCGTAGCAAATTGATTTCTCAAACTCCACCGGCAAGGCAACCCCCGTTGGTATAATGGAATGCAGCATCGGAAAAATTAGCGACGTGACGTGCCTGCGTAAAATCTTATTTGTTTGCCCTCCCTCTGATGCCACGCACCGGATACCCAGCGTCGGAGGAGCAGCGAGTCCCGCGGGTCCTCATAAAATAAACAACGCAAGACTTTTCGCAACTACGCTCATAAATTACCGCGGCCCAGGGAAGATGATTAAAGTTGTACCGAAGAGGGGACGGGGAGGAGCCGCGAGTTAACCAACTTTAATGAACATTACGAGATTATTCGGTCAAAGTGATCGCGGCGGATGTACCAAGTGCTTACGTATATACACGTCTGGCTGTGTAAGGGACGTATTTACTGGCTTGTCGTGAATTTTGTATACAAAGTTCAAGGGAGGAAAAAAAAAATGATTTCCCGCAGCTCGTCCCCGATGTACCTATACGTGTACATTATGTACATTTTGTTTCGCGACGAGAGCCCTTTCATTTTCTTCTCGCCTTCCCGACTTCCTCTCATTTCCTCTACACGGACTAAATTCAAATTGGAGCGGTTTGGCCGGCTGCCCGCACACATGTACGTGTATACACGCGACTTTCTGAAACAGAGATAACAGAGAATCGAAAAATGTTACGCGAAGCTCGGTCGGGCGAGCACGTGGACCAGATTCAATTTCAACGATTTCGACATCTTTTCTTTTTTTTTATTTGAAGACAAAAAAAAAACAAAGAATTTATATAAAACTAGTAAAGAGAAATAGAGATATGTGTACAATAACCCAATTGTGTTGCACTACTTTTTCAAACGCCGCGTATTTGCTCTCGTTTCGCGAACATTTATCGACTTTTGGTTACAGGCAACTGTATCGCGCTCTTGTGAGACCTCCCCCGCCGCTTGTTCTCGACACTCCTTCTCAACAGGTGTACCACCGCCACGTATTAGCATCTATCTATTGGCATTCCCCCGCGAGAGACTCGAAACCGAAAAAAAAAAAAAAAAAAAAAAAAGGAAAATAGGAACATCAGCAGCGGCAGATCTATCACGTTGTTGTTCCGAAATTACGGGTTGACGTCGAAATTACTGTCCAAGAGACCTCGGCGAGGGTAGGAGAGATGGTGACATGTTATATGTTAAATTTGTAATATAAAAAAAAAAAAAAAAAAAAAAAAAAAAAACAAGTAGTATATCGAGAGCGAGCGGGAGGATACAAAGGAGTGGAAAAGTTGAGGACCACGAGGTCTGAGTGGCCCCTTGTCGCGACAGAAGCTGAGCAGCAAGAGCCTTTGTGAGTCTCTTGTATGCTGTGCTGCAACCGACGACTTTATGATACACAATCGAGTATAATATAGTTATCGGTAAGAATTAAAATTAAAAAAAAAAAGTTGTACCCATCGAACGAGATGTCAAGTGATTCCACGTCGAGAGCACATTGTTAACGGTACAAAACACCTGGTTTATACAATTTTTTTTGCAACCCATAGTTAAATTAGTTACATCGATTTTTGTCACGCCATATCGTGCAGTTTTTACATCGGCTTTCCACGGGCTACTGGTGAGCGTCGCGGCGTACCTGTGTACAGCATTTGTGCACCGAGTGCGACACTCCTCGGCGCTTGATCCTCTTATCCATTGAGAAGTTTGCCACGTAGAGTGACAATATTGGCTTTTTTTACATCATCGGCTGTACCTATACGTACCTATACACCCTCTTCATTCGACGGATCTTATCGGTACTTGGTTTCCGTTACAGTGAACGTAAAATTTCGAAAAGAAGAGACGCAAAGATCATTGCTTTTTCTCAAACTCGCCTAAACAGTTTTTACTCCGTAATAAATTTAACGCTTTTGACAATGTATATTATATAGCTTTCAAACAAATTTGAGTAAACTAATGAACGATCAAAATGACGCATGGCTATTAAAATACGATGTTACACTTGTTCGTTGTAATTTTACATTGTTCAACGCTCTGTCCACGCTGTCGCACGTTATTACGCTGCCTTTGTTATTTTCCTTTAATATATTGCATCGATTACATCGTATTACAATTTACTCGCATATTGCACTAGGGACTCATTCAATTTGTTTGTCATGAAAATCATAGCATATTTCATCAACAATAATTGCCATTTCGAAGCTCCAGTTTGTACCTTTGCACCAAAAATCTCGCGCCTTGTCGACACATATTTACAACCATATATTCGTATGGACACGAAACACGGGCTCGTCGATGAACATAATATTTGCTCGGCAAATCAAACGAACCCAACACCGGCTTACATTAATTACTTTTCCTCGGAAAAGTTTTTTTCCGGAAGAGCCTCAGAAGCAACGAAATAGAAAGAAACAACAACAAACAAAGAGGGCGGGGAGGGAGAAAAATTGCCAGAAACAAAGTATACAAGTACAAAGATTGAAAAGGAAAAAGAAAAGTTGTTGGGCGGCAAGTGTACATAGTCACCGCAGTGCTTGCGGCCGTGTTCCTTAATTCATTAATCCACGGCTCGTCTCGTCATCCCCAGCACCCCCTCGGCTCTCGCATTTATTTAACCCACGCGCAATACACGTATACCCACCATTTTGTTGAATCGTCCCGTATAGAGCGAAGGGGACCCCCCCCCCCTTTCCGAGTAACAATAAACAAGAGGCAGAGGTACGAGTTTCGCCGCAGTGCGGGCGCTGCTTGATTTCAGGTCGGTTTATGCGCGTGCACGTGGTGAAATCACGGGGAAAGTTAATGAAAACCCGTCCACACCTATACACACGGGCCGGAGATGACGACGGTCTTATACATACACGTATCCCGATTGTAGCGATTTAACACGCTCTCATCCTTTTATTCCGACGTCGTCCTAATGGCACTTTGTCTTGGCGCTCGTTGTTACCCCCGCTAAACGCCGATAAATAAATTTTCAGACCGAGTGCAGGCTTTTGTCCAAATTGGAGCTCGGGTGATGAGCTTATCGAGCGTCATAATGCACCGGAAAGTCCTCGCCACTGCCGGTTTTATTCGATTGGGGTATTACGAAACTATATACGTAAAAAAGGAAGGCCTGGAATTAATAAAATATATTATAAATATAATATCGGTGAAAAATTATACAGTCGCTGTGTAACATTCGTCGACAAAAAAAACAGAGGGCAAACAGCAGTGCTTACCCGAGGCTTGATTTAATTTTTCTGTACCGCCATCAGAGAGAGCAAGGAAAGAAGGAACGGGGGAGGGGAAAAAAAAAATCGGAAAAGAAAGAAAAGAGAAAAGTTGGCGGATGTAAGATAGGGAAAGAGAGAGAGAGAGAGGGGGGGGGTGGAAAGGTAAAAAAAGAGATCGATATACTATTAACGATAGAAGGAGGAGGAGTACGCGGGCAGGTATAGAGAGCTCAACGGCTAATGCGTTTTTTGCCCCGGTAAAAACTTTTAATTGGTATCCTCTCCTGCGAGCATTGTGTTGTACTGTCGTGTGTACATGTATACACATACAGCCCCACGTATCGGCTTAAGAAATAGCTGTATAACCGTGTACACGAGGCTTCGATAGAGCGCTTGTGCAGCCAGTTGCGAGTGACAGTCTTCAAAGAGAAGTAAGTACTCGAGAGTGGCGGCGGAGGGTATACATTGTACAGGTAGGTATATATACACGTATTGTACAGTCGGGTCGGTTCGAGCGTGGAAGACGCCAGTTTAGTTTGCTTCAACAACTCGACAACTCTACTTGTGGCTATTTGGTTAGCTTGATTGAAATACCTGCTTCCATCGCAGGCACACACCCATCCATATATATAAATGTATTCAGACATCCGTGCACGCCCGGATAATCTCAGTGACGAAATAATGTATAAACTAGCGTATTCATCCCCTCGGCGTGTGTACACGACTGCATCGATTACCGCGTTTCTCTTTCGCCGGCCGGCCGGCCCGTCTCCCGTACAGGTATAATATACATATTCGCGTGCCGCAAGGTCGGCCTTGCCCCTATACAAAGCTAAGGGTACACTTATCGTGTGCACACCCACATCGCCAAGCGCGGCAGGTAGTTCTGGATAAGTACTCGTACAACGGAATTTTCATTTGTTTAGCATCACAAGTGGATTTGGCGTGTATATATACATGTAAAATATGGTTGCCGAGGTCACGTGCGCGCAAATCGATGGATACGCGGGACTTGCGGACCGATACAAGGTTACATTGTGTATATATATATAGGCGTACGAGCGTATACGCGAGCCCGTAAATAAATCTCGTTCGAGTTAATCATTTCGACTCTCGGGGCGCAAATTTTCCANCATTGTGTATATATATATACCCGAGTGACTTCCACTGAGACGTTTGGCCTGTGTAACCTCGCGTATACGATTAATACTTCGATACCCCTCCTCTCTCCCAACTCGTTTCTCCGCCCCTTTGTATACGAGCGAGGGGCATTTTCGATCTACACCTATATACATATACACCCCTCCGTCCCTGAAGCTGGTTCTCGCCGTGTACTTTTCCCTCTCGATTCGCTGTTGGTTTTTCCTATTTCGAGAGGTATATAATTACCATTTCCAAGAATTGTACATGACGACATGACGGAGAAAACAACAACAACAAATGAGAATATATACAATATAAAGGAAACCAGAGTGTAAAACTAACCTGGGTGTCGTTCCACCACATGTGCAGCCGATAATTCCTCAGTATGTTGGCGTTCTCGTTGATGTGATCGACGGCGAGTTTGACGGATGGCATGACGCCGCGTCCGACGATGCTCTCGGGCACGTGGGACGCGTAAGGAAAGAGCCCGGCAATGTAGAGGTCGCGCTTCTTCGGGCCGGCGTTGATGAGCGGCCGTTGTCCACCGCACGACAAAATGGCGTCTAGCCACAAAATGGCCGCCAACAGGCGGCTCAACCGACGGCCCGTACCGCGCCGGAGGCTGTCCTCCTCCTCCTCCCCCCTGTCCTCCATCTTCGTCTCTCTTCTCTAGGGGTACACAGGCTACACGTGATTACCGGCCGAGTCAACTTCAGCTCGACTTAACCTCCATCGGCCGCCGTCTTTTTCTCGCGAGCACCGCTTCTTCCATATTCTCTCTCAGCCCACCTCGAACGCGAACGCGAACACAAACATGTATGTATACTTGGTTACACCCGGGGCTCGCCGCTTCGTCCTCCCGTGTTATATTTAAACACACTCACCGCTCAGCCCTTTTCATTTTTATCCGGCGACCCTTTACACGAAACTTCCATCTCGCGGTCACTGTCACTCACTTTCTTTTCACTCGTATCGTGCTTACTTTCAGTTGTCCCCTCTTCGTTGGCTGTGACGGTTTTTGGCTCCTTCGCGTGGTATATCAATCGCCCTTAGACGCTGAAACAACAAAAAAAAAAACAAAAAAAAGAAAAAATTAATAGAGCGACCTCGATTTAACGTTATTTTAAGCGGCAACTCGACTCGATTGATTATTGGAAATTATACAGTATACAACACACGTGTACGTGCAGGTTTCGCCGCTCTCGTATCTAAATAAATAATGTATATTCACCCAGCCCTGTAGGTATATACTGTATGCATATACAAATTACCCAACCAGCTGAAAAATGTATCTACCAATGGCTGGGTGATTAAATCGTTTGGGTGCACGCTACAACTGGTACAAAAAAAAAAAAAAAAAAAAAAAAAAAACCCAATGTAACGAATTATCAGCACCGCGCTTGATTGATGCCCGCCTCTTGGCGATGGAAAATGAATTTTGTCGCGAGCCGACCCACCCTCCACTTTGTATACCAAACGACGCTCGAGGTAAGTACATCCCCCGCAGGAAGGAAAAGAGACCCGTACAACGGCGAATCGATTCGAATCGCCGCTAATAGACAGTCGTCGATGATGTATATACATATATATTGAAAAAGTCGATGAGCAGGAATCGATTAAACGAAGAGCATAAAGTCAGTGGAGTTGTACAGAGAAGAGATTGTAGCAGTTGGTAATTCGCGAGAGCTGCAGGGGTTGGGGGGGGGGGGCAGCATTTGACTTATAGGACAGCGTGTCCAATCGCACGAGATAATGGGCATCGGGAAGGGGGGCGAGCCAGGGCGCACGTACACCGGATCGAAATTATCGACTCCCGTCCTTGTATACACACATATATATATAGGGAATAGAAGCGCCAGCCTCGTCGCGGGATGATGCACGTATACACGCCTCGATGGTACGTATACTGCTTCGTTAGCGCGACACAACGGCGACGGGAAATCGTTCGGGAATAAACGGTTCTTTAAACGTACAACGGAGGGGCCACTTCAAATCAGGGACTATTAGCGCTGGGCTCTGCGGACCAAAGTGCATCTCAATGTAGCATCGCTTGCATGTGCCGATGAGGGAAGCCAGTCGCCACGGGTATTATCCAAAATGTAAAATCTCTCCCCCGCCCACCGGTGCAATGACAGGGAGTTGGTGTGTATACGTGTTACGTTTGCTACCAATGGTGATGGGTATGCAAATTATATATTGTATACATATAGGTGTCGTTGAGAATATAATGTATATAGGTAGGTGCGGATGCATATAAGTAAAACAGGGGGTGCATGTAATATGCATGGGCACGAGTGCCGGTGTGCGCGCAATCAAAGATAATAATGAGGAAAACGGTTCTGCTCGTTCGTTATTCATGGGTGTGTATACACACAACAGCCCCATGCATGTGCGCGCACTGAGAGTATATTATACGTATACCTAACTCACACGGGACATACCAAGGCCCGGCCTTGGCACAGTAACATAAATTTAGACGGCAGCTAGAAGTGTCTAGCTGACATCACGCCACTTTGTACCCACACCAGCACACACAATACATGTTTACACATTAATATATACACGTAGGTGTATATAATTATGTACTCCTGCGTACCAGGGTTTATATATACAGTATAGAGAGCTCTGTGTGTGACGCCACCTCCCTTGAGCCGTACAAGAGGGGGTGGTAGAGAGAAAGAGAGAGAGAGAGTGTGTAACGTGCGGATCGATAATTCAACCCTGGAGGAAGATAAGGTGGTCCATGTACGGGTGCACCTGGTCTGCGATTTTCTCGGCCATATATATACACACGTATAGCGCGGCTATCTCCGAGTCCAGCCCCGTGGCATATACGGAGGACACAGCAGCCCCGTTTAGGGGCTCCTCTACCGATGTTGCTACCCCCTGCCCTGCTTGAAGGGGAGGGATTTTTCATTGAAATTTTCCAAGCCGGATAATTTATTTCGCGAGCGCGCGAGGACCAATTACGCCGGGACACGGTGTACAAGTCACCATACTTTGGTCGTGTGTATATATACACGCGTCAGCGGAAAAGTAATTATATTAAGCGGGACGGGCTTTGGCGATTCTGATTAATCGTGCGTGCGCGGGTGGAAAGAAAAAAAAGTGATATTGGCAGATGAGCGCGTTGTACATACGCGGGGGTGTATTAACCGAGGTGGGAGCTTTGCTGTAGGACCTCTTTTCGAGCGAGCGACGCGCCGGGGGCTTTTATGAACTTTGTAGGGCGGAAATTGTACGTGTATGGATGATAATGGACGGAGCGAGCGGGGCTGGGGGGGGGAAATCCCTGGAGCCAATCCACTGGCACAGGTGACCCGTGTGCGTATACTTTCCAACAAAATAACAACACTTTGATCGTACACGCGGTCAAAGACGCGCTGTTGTACCTTCCCCTTTCCCGGCCCAACAAAGTTTGTTCGCGTAACAAGAGTTATTTTTCAAGCTCCCCCGCAAAAGTCCGCGATAAGTGGATGAGGCGAAAGTAGAGCGGCGCAATAATTTCGCGGGGCGGGAGGGGGGGACGTGCCGGCGAACAGGGGCGCACTTGAACGTTTTCACAAACAGCCCGAGCGCCTCGTGCGCACTGGTCCCGAAGTTGCGCCGTAAAAATACTCGGCCCCCGCAGACTCCCGACTCTGTTGTTCTTTAAACTGGCGTTCTTTCGAAATACCGTGAAAATAATCGTTACGCAGCTAGTCGGGTTTGAGACAGTGCTCGTACCAACATAACTACGGGAAATTCCGCGGAAAGGATCCTCCGTCGTATGCACTTCTCTGTCCCTCGTTGTGGCCATTGTGTCGAGAATGGAGGCATTGTCATAGAGTGGGTTCGATGGGCTGCACGACGTGGATTCATCGATTCGCTCGAGCGTGGACAGTTTGACACACTTGGACGGAAGGCGCAGCGCCGTACACGCGTGGATTTATATATTACTACTTATTCCCACGCGTCGCTCGATACGCGTACAATCGACCTGATGGATATGGTCATGAAGTTGCGCGTGCGTGGCGAGCTTTTTTCTTTTCTCTTTTCAAAAAAGGGAAGGAGGAGAAGCGTGATGGAACGCGAGCCTTTTTGACGCGATTAATTAACAAAGTGCGCTTTTTGTAGGGAGTGTTGACTTTTTTCCTCGGGAGAGCTGTTAATTTTCTGTTAAATCGATGTACCACGCCCGCCTCGGTACATTATTTTCCTCGGGCGAAAAATCTCAAGAAAATCGCCTGTCGGTGTAACTTGGTGGACGGACGAACCAGGGGCCTCCAATGATCGAATCAAGGACGAAAAGGAGCGCCAAGTGCGGGCAAATCGAGCGAAATCGCGAGCGTCGTGTACGTGCTCGAACGTGTATACACGTAGGCCGTTACGCGAAGCGTTTTGCCCGAAGAAGCGGAAACAATAAAAGTATACATTCACTCGAGAGGTCGGAACGAAAGGTAAACGAGAATAGATTAGGCTGAGCCCCTATATCTCTGCATCTCTCTCTCTGGGGCAACTGGCATTAGTTTACGGCCGCGTCAAGGTCTCGTGAATATAAAAAGTAACACGCGTACAAAGTCCATATATATTTAAAGTACATATTTTTTTTTTTTTTTTTTTTCAAGCACCATCGGAAGAGGCTGATAGCTCCTCATGGAGCTACGAAGGGTACCTATAGAGGGTAGAGTATACGTATCCCCGGCCGATATTCGGTGCAAACATTTCGCGGGGGCTCTCAGCCGTGGCGAAAGGGGCGCGCCGTTCAAGGGGCATTAAAACACACCGATTGCGCACACGACGGAAAGGTACAGACGGTAAAAGAGCCCACCACTCCCGCGAGGGCTCTCGTCCCGAAATTTCAGGGAGCCCCATTGACCCCGATTCGTCGCGATCGCGGAAAACGATTCAAATAAAAAATCTCTTCACCCGTGCAGCTCTACGTGCTCTATGTGCTCTCCTTCCCCCGATGCACCACCGAGCGATCACAGACCGTAACGAACGATTTAAAATACCCACCCATCCAGTTGCTACAGCGTGGGGCTCTTTGAAAAAAAAAAAAAAAAAAAAAACAAAAAAAAAACATACCACGGGCTAAAGCAGCCTCCGTAGCTAGTTTCTCGCCGTAATCGCCAATCAATCACGGAAAACCGCTCTTCCCTCTCTCTGGCCGCGTAGTGTGTGTGTGGGTCGCCACCCCTTACACGCTTACCGGCGGAGGTGCCTTAATTGCGCGCCGCGTGTCCGCGATCCTCCGATAATATTCGCAGGTTTCGGCCGATAGCGCCCCTGGCCCGGTGCCAACGTACCACGCTATATGCACTACCTACTCCCCCCTCCCCTGTGATGTAGGGTTTGATAGCCTCCTTCCAGGCTTTATTTATGAATCACCTCCGCATCTGCAAACACACGGAGGATGAAGCGTGAGACGTATAGGGTGCAACCCCCCTCCTCTCCCCTTCTTTTTCCGCTGTTAATTTATAGATGCGAGAGATAACAAGAAGCACGATTGCGGGAGAGAAAGAGAGAGTTTGTGTACCTACACCGAAACTTTTTGATTAAACTTTCGTCGTTACGTCGCTGACGTGCTGTTGTTGGGTTTCTCGCGCATAGGGGGGGGGAGTGACAAGAGCACCGCTCTCCTTGAGCTTATCAGCTTAATGGGCGTGTACACG